TGAGAGTCACAATCACTTTATTTTTAGATAATATGCACTTTGGAACTTTCTCTTTCTCTTCATTGCCCAACAAAACTGAATCATGATTCTCCCCAAGGATTTTTGTTGAATCATGACTTTTATTATAAAAGGATCTATATGTTATTAATTTATGTTCCCACAGGCAAGACTGTAATACATGATACAAAATTAACACACAAAAATTGTTACTAAACTTACAGTGTACATTATTTGTAGACAATTCCTGGTTAATGATTTCAGACTAAACTACTCCCTTCACCATAGTGAATTCTTGATGCATACTCATTTTTTTTTTCTTTTTGGGTCACACTCAGCGATGCTCAGGGGTTATTTCTGGTTCTGCACTCAGAAATTACTCCTGGCGGTGCTTGGGGGACCATATGGGATGCCGAGAATCGAACCCGGGTTGGCCGCATGCAAGGCAAAGCCCTACACGCTGTACTATTGCTCCGGCCCCTTGATGTATGCTCTAATAGGAATTTTATTTAGATTAAGAGTTTCCTGCTATTTTTCAAAATGCAAAAAACAATGAAATTTAAATTTAGCTATCGAATACACTAAATATCATCATGATATTTTAGAAATTTTCACTTTCACAGTGTATGATCACTTCTCTCAAATTCCCCCAGACAATTATGTTATATAAAATATGATGGGAGGGGGAAGAATACAGAGGGGTTGAAAGATTTCCAGGACCCTCATAATCACAAGTAATATATTCACAAGGAATGAAATTATATATTAAAGTATAATGAAAAATAAGAGAAAATAAAGCATTTATTTTCCTGACTATATTTAGTGCAATTATTATTTTTCAATGGTTTGTTTAAAAATCAAAGAGGGGTTCCACTAAGACCAGATATTTGATATTATTTTGTTTTTCTCTTTGTTTCTTTTCTCTGTCATTAGAACATTCTATCTCTGACCCAGTTTTTTCCCTATTCTACGATTCATCTTTTCATGATCACAAGTTTGGTGTTAATATATCTTCCTATTACTGTGTGATGTTAACATTATTCTTTACTGCTATTAGTAATTTCTTTGTGTATTTTGATGATCCATCATTTGGTAAATACATATTAATAAACACTACATATTTTTACTGTTAAAGCTTTTATTCATTATAAATGTCTATGCTTGTATCAATACTATTTGTTATACTGGAAATATATTTTACCAGATAGGTATAAATTTGCTTACCCCTCCTTTAAAAAATTAGATTGTTGTTTGCTTGTAGGATAGTTTAAAAAACTTTTAATTTGGAGCCAGAGAGATACTAAAGTGGGTAAGGCACTTGACTTGCAATCAACTGACCCAGGTTCAATCCCTGACATCCCAGGTGGTCCCCTGAGCACTGCCCAGAGTGATACCTGAGTGCCACGCCAGGAGTTACCCTGAGCAACAACCTTGTGTGGTTGAAAAAGAAAACAAAATTAAACAAATTAAAAAGACTATGAGAAAATAAATGTTTTATTAAAAATATATTTATTTTTTATTTTGACCCTGTTTTATTCATTGGTAGTTTTCTGTCAAAAACAAAAAAGTTGAATTTATTTATTTATGATCCATTCAGCTACTTAGTGGCTACTTAGTGGTGAATTCGGACCACTAACATTTAGGATAATTACTGAAACCTGAGAATTTATTGTTATTTTGTTGTTTTAAATTGTAATTATTTTTCTTTATTTTTTGTACTCGCATTCTCTTATGTCTTAGTATCTTCCTTTGGTGTCATCTTTAAAATATTTCTATTATTTATGTTTTTAATGGGTTTTTGTTTGGAGATTATTATGACATTTATCTTAAAGTTGTATAACTATAAACCATCAGACAGATTAATCTTGAAGTCATTCTAATCCTCCACATTTTAACTTATTTTCTTTTAAGTCCAAAACTGATGTGACATTTTGAGAGAGGTAGAACTTATTCATTTAGTTTTTTATTTCATTTCACTGGAGTCTTTTTAGTATTTTTTGAGGGTCAATTCCTTAAATTTATGATTTTAGAAAAATACTTTACCCCTCTTTCAATTCTTAGTGATGATCTATCAGGCTAGAAGATTCTTCATTGAAAAATCCTCTTACTCTCAGCATTTTAAATGTATCATGATATTTCATTCTGGCTCATGGGTTCTTTTGAGAAATCTATGGATAACCTTATAAGGATTCTTCCTAATATTATTTTTTCTGTACATGCTTTAAAGTGTTTCTCATATAGTTTCAAATATTTAAATTGTGTGTTTAGTATCTATTTGTTTGGGTTTATTTTGTTTGTAATTCTTTGAGCCTCATATCTGAATGCCCTTTGTCTTCCTCAAGTTAGTGACATCCTGGACTATTATTTCTTCAAGTAAGTTTTTTTTTAATTTTTTATTTCTTCCAGTCACCCATTTTGGACTGCTACAGTGTAGGTATCGTTATTCTCAAGGTTAATTCCACATGGCAATATTTTTTTATAATTCATTAACATTTTTGCTTGTCTCTTTTTTTCCCCCCAGTGCTTCATAGTTTTGCTTGCTGATTCTGTGAGCTGCTACTTCTGGTCTACAATTGAATACATAGATCATGTCCCTTTTAGTTCAGCTATTATGTTCTTTGTTTATATTATTTATATATGAAGCATTTTGTATCTTTTCTATATTGTATTTACTATTTTGATTATAATTTGCTGTTCATGTATCAATAATCATCATTAGAACTATCAATCTGAATTCTTTATATAAGTTATCTAGTTTCATTGCATTTAAATTATCTCTGAGCTTTTGTTTGGTTCTGTAATTTGTATACTCATTTATGTCCTTGTTTTGTTTGAAGCTCCATGCTTTTGTTCCTTCCTGTGATATATAAGCTTTAAATTAGCAATTTAAATTAGCAATATCATCTGGAGGGTCTCATTTTAGTTTGTTTGCACAGGTTATTGGCATATGTATTGCTTTTCAACTGACACTTCTGCACCTGTTTTAATGACTGGACCTCTGGTACCAGTGCTGAGAAGTGGGAAGAAGAGAGGTTCCTACTGAGGACTAAGATTTTCAGTCTCCAGAACTGTGGATGCTTGGCTATGGGAGAAATCTACAAGCATCCTCTCTACTAACCCATTTATCAATCATAGGTTTCCCTGATGCTTCATTTTAACATTGACCCCTTAGCTGTGATCTAGTTCTGGTTTGTAGCCCCTGCCGCTTGTATTTTTCAAATTCTTCAGGTCACTTATGTTGAATTTTTCCATTATTTGTAGACAGATCCATTTTAAGGGTTACATTAGCCTTCAGTAATTGTCTTTTCCATGTCAACTCCAGAGTTTGACATTTTACATATTTTATATCCCTAATAGGCATTGCTTAAAAGCATATTCTCTTGACCTCAGCAGCATTAATTTTTTAGGTAAGGTAAGTCTTTGTTGGAGGGGACTCGTCTGTGAACTGTACTTTGTTTAGCACAATTTTGGTCTTTACTTCTACATACTAGTAATACCTACCTGTTTTTAAACTTAAAACTGTCTTCTGATAATGTCAAAACCCTCTATGAAACAAAATAATGTCTTATTGAGAAAAGAAAAATGAGATTAAGTGAAAGAATATTTATCCTATTTATACATGAAAAATTTGAGGGAATAAGTTTAAATGAGTATATTGAAAACTGAAAAACTGGAACATGTAAGCACCAAAAATTTAACTCAAATATTTATAATTTTTACTTTGTAGAGTTCTTTTGCTTTTTAGCTTCAGTCTCAATGCAGAAAAGTTTTACTATTATATAATATTAAGAGAATTTGATAAATTATGAGCTTGCTTTTATTAGTATTCTGATGTATGATACCATTTTGCTACAAAAGCAGTGCTCAAACATAGCACTGTAGCACTGTCCTCCCGTTGTTCATCGATTTGCTCAAGTGGTCCCAGTAATATCTTCATTGTGACACTTGTTGTTACTGTGTTGGGCATATCAAATATGTCATGGGTAGCTTGCCAAGCTTTGCCATGCAGGCAAGATACTCTCGGTAGCTTGCCGGGCTCTCTGAGAGGGGCGGAGGAATTGAACCCGGCTCGGCCGGGCCAGCTGTGCACAAGGCAAACGCCCTACCACTGTGCTATTGCTCCAGCCCTGCTCAGACATACTCACTTATTAAAAAATAACTACTTTCAGGGCTGGAGCAATAGCACAGTGGGTAGGGTGTTTGCCTTGCACGCGGCCAAGCCAGGTTCGATTCCCAACATCCCATATGGTCCCCCAAACACCGCTGGGAGTAATTCCTGTTGCATGAGCCAGGAGTAACCCCTGTGCAATGCCAGATGTGACCCAAAAGCAAATATATATATATATGTATATATATATATTTACTTTCTCCTACTATCTCCTACTATTCCAAAGTGAGCTATGTTGATCTCTTCTTGAATGACAAATTTTACAATGTTTTCAGTCACTGTTAGATATTACACATTTTTTTAGATTCCTTTATTTACGGTTACAAAAATGTTAGAAATTAAATACCCTATTCTCATATTTTTCAATTACTTTTTCTTGAAGTTTAATGATATCTTCTTTTAAAACTCAGTACTGTTTCAGACCCAAAACAGTTGAAAGGCAGAGTGGGGATTGAGTTTTTTTTCATTTTTTATTTTTTATTATTTTTTATTAGTGAAACACCACAAGGTACAGTTATAGACTTACAAATTTTTGTGCTTGATTTTCAGCTATACGATTATCAAGTACCCATCCCTCCACCAGCGCCCATCCTTCACCACCAGGGGTCCCAGCATCCCTCCCATCCCCCCCCCACCCCCCAGCCCATCCATCCCACCCTGCCTCTGTGGCAGGGCATTCCCTTTTGTTCTCTCTCTCCTTTTGGGTCCTGTGGTTTGCAAGAGAGGCATAGAGTGGCAATCATGTTTGGTCTATAGTCTACTTTCAGCATGTTTTTTTTTTTTTCTCATTTGCTTTTCTCCTTTTTTCCTTTTTCATTTTTTTCCTGGTTTGCAGTGAGGTTAGAATTTGGAAAGAAAATGACTTAGAGACAAGGAAACTGTTCACTGTTTGGACTGATGCTCTCTGGTATCAGTGCTTCCTGGAATTGGTGAATTTTGTAAGCCAGCTTTTCTTGTGAGATACTTTAGAAATTAATTAAAGATAGTGATTTTTCATTTTTCAGAGATTAAGTATTTCTTCTGGACTGCTATGTATGATACTTGTTCAATTTCCTGATGTTCATCTCTTGCCTATTTGGAAGAAAACTGAAATAAACCAAAGAGCTTCTTTCTAAGCTTAAAAGGCATCAGTTTTCATAGTTGTAATCGCCTCACATAGATGTCACATGTCTAGCCACATGATACCCAGGGTTTCACATCTCATCAGCTAAAAATACAGACTTTAGACTCATCATTGGTTGAAGTATAGTCCTCTATCATTGCTATGTTCCTAAACATAATACAGGTCATATAATCTCTGACATTTAGTTTTCTAAGCTGTAGTTGAGTATCTATGTGAATTTCCTCTATAACCTCTAAGAGGCAAGCATCAATCTCTTGGAAAAATCCCTGATGATTCCCACTTATTTTAGGAAAGAGAATCACAGTCTCTTTTGTATGAAATATAAAAGGTGATAACACAACAATATTTCTTTAAATTGCTGAAAAAGTCTTTCTGCAAAGCTTTCTTTGGTCTCAAAATTCTTTTCTATTCAAGAAGTGGATGATAGACCTAAAGTTCCTAAATTGGCTTTAGATCACTAATATTGTAAGTGCTGTATCCATGTTCCATCTTTTGGCTATGGAACAGGAGGTGCTTTTTTTCACTTTTGTGTTGTTAGAGAACTTGATGATGTCTTCTAAAACTGAGAAGGAAGTGCCCACTGACACCTTTTAGAAGCGGAGGAAATGGAGACAGGTTGTAATTCAGATGTTGAAAAGAGATACTAAGATCTAACCATGGTCTTAGATTTTTGTCTCAGACCTTGTGAAACAATTTGCCCCTCTATTAAAAACCTCAAAGTCCTCTTCTGTTAGAAATAAATTCCATACTGCTTTATTGAACTTAAATACCTGACAGAAAGTTCACAAGTACTAAAAACTCCAGGTTCAACAGAACCAGGAATGGGTGACCTCCCCCCTTTCTCCCCTGTTTCCAGCAACTTGACAGTCACGCCGACAGCCACCTCTGGCTGGTACTAGATAATCTCATCAACGGCCATGATACAGAGACTTATTATAAATTTCTCAGAAGAGAGCATAAAAACGACACACTATAGTCATGTCAACGCACCCTGGGCTAGGATTTTTCACTTGGCGTATCCTGGAGGGCATCGGGTGAGGCCCCTACCTGCCCCAAAGAACCCAGCTCCAACAGCTGAAAACCTCCAGAACTCAACCACTGACATGCTCCCGGCAGCTCTCCATTTGGGCTTAACCTCAGCCATGAGTTAACCTACTCCTGAACTGACATCTCATACCTCATAGCACTAAATATTCCAGGAGTAGCACACAACATTTGATGGGAATTAAAGGACAAGGCAACTAATCTTAGAGGGAAATATATTTTTGCACAAAATGCTCAACCTTTAACAACATGTTAGTAATCTTTTATCACTGTATCACTGTAGTCTTGTTATTCATTGATTTGCTCCAGTGGACACCAGTAATGTCTGCATATGTCCTAGCCCTGAGATTCTAGCAGCCTCTCCTTACTCGTCCTTCCCAACGGTGCCGCATTGGAGGCTCTTTCAGGGTCAGGGAAATAATACACATCATTGTTAGTGTTTTTGACATATTAAATATGCCACAGGAGCTTGCCAGACTCTGCTGTGCGGGCATGATACTCTTGGTAGCTTGCTGGGTTCTCTGAGAAGGAGACCCAGACTATTAGAGGTCGAACGGCCGCATATGTGGCCATGCACTTCTGGGAGTTTTGTTTTATAGTCTCTGGATCTTGATTGTTGATGAGATTTTATGGTGCTTAGGGTAGTTTGTGGGTGTAACTGCCTCGCTACTGGAAAATGGGGGATCTGGGTGGAGGAGGCCCAACCCCGATCTGTGTAGGCTTGGGGATCTTAGCCCCTGGGTTCCTCTGCCAGTTCTTTCATGCGTGAGGCTCGTCCGAGCATGTGGAGAGTGGTCTTGAGCATGGTTGTGGCTGGGTACCAGAGTTTTGCGGCTGCCAGGGCTCTGCTTGGGGCAGGGAGGGAAACTCAACCTGCCCCCCTCTGAAGGGCCCCAGTGAAGACAGCCTGGCAGTGGGCAGGAGACTCTTTTATAGGACTTAATGGTCCCTGGGTGAAATACAACAATCTTCACACACTTTCCTGTAAGGATACTTTTGTGGAACACTTTAAGTGGTTTATTCATAACAAACAATACAAAATAATTTTGTAGTGTTTGGGGCAGTGGTTGGGGTTTGGGATGGAAACTTCCAAAATATGATGTTGGAAGGTTTTATAGTGGCGGGATAGATATTCAAATATTAAATGTAATTAAATATTGTGAACAACTTAATAAAAATAAAATTAAATTAAGAAAGAAAGTTCACAGGTATATGGTTATGTGATATAAGTCTAGGATATGTTCTTCTTACTTAGTGTTGCTCTTTGAAACATTACTAGTAAAATGAATTATTTTTAAAAGTGAGTATAAAGCTTCCTGAAATTAGTGAACCATATCATTTACTGTCAGGTTATGTATCTTTCCTTTGATTTATTCAAAGTAGATCAGAAAAGGCAGAGAAATGTGTCTTTTATTAAAAATAGGCAAATGCTAATTTTCTACCCACTTAGGGCTATATTTTACAGTATTGTACGTTATTTAAATCATAACACAAAATGCATGATTTTTGAAATTTAAATGTTTCATTACTTATTTTGCCACTTCTAGGGTGGGAGCTCTTTCCATGTTGAATAAACATAATAGTTGATTTTCTTAATTCTCATTTCTTCCCGAGTGCTTTGTGTTTGTGGCCTAAAGTGTAGATGATTGGTCAATGCTCTACATCCTAGTACTGATTAATATATGCCAGTCAAAATAACCCCACTAGTCTTGTTAGTGACTGAACCAACAGCAACTCTTAATGACTGGCATCCCACTACTCCTATAAGACTAATCAGGTGATCACTATGAGGCCCTTGAAACATGTAAAATCAGATAACTTTTATGATTAGAAAGAGTCTCTTAGGCTAGAAAGCTGCAATAGTTGGGTTAGATTCTTGGTGCTACATGTGGTCCCATAATGCCCACCAGACATGATCCCTGAGCACAGTCCACTGTCATCCCCATTCCCCCCAAAAAACCCAAACAAACAAAAACAAAAATAGAAAAAAAAAATAAAAAAAAGCTCCTGCAACTCTTCTTGCAGTAGGCAGAGCAGGCAGGACTGAGGGGTTGGCTGTTTCAGAAGTCCTTCTATAGCCTCCAGGGGAAGCAGCCTGAGGATTGAGCTGAGCAAGCTAGAACAGTGTATCAATGAACCTGGAATCCAGTGACATTTTCATTGCAGGGTGGAGAGCAGGGTTGGGTTGCGTTTGCACTGGAGTGGCAGTTTGTGTCCAGTAAACAGAACCCTGCCTAACCTGCATGGTGCAACAAGTTTGGTCCCTGATATCCAGTGTGTTCTTAAAAACGCAGCAATAAGGTAAGGAGAGGAGGAAAACTGCAATGACCTTTCTGAACTGCTTTTCCCCAGGAATCCCAGAATTGAAAGCTGGCAGAGTATTCTGCCTTAAGTTATCGTATAAAAACCAAAGACACTTTGAGTACCAGCTATAGTAAACGGGGGTCAGGCATTTGCCTTGCATGTGACCAATCAGAGTTTGATTCCTGGCACCACATATGGGATCATGTGTGCCTGCAGAAATGATGCCTGAGTGCAAAGACAGAAGTAAGCCCTGAGCACCTCTAAAGAAAAACAAAAACAAAGAGAATCAGTATAGTCAGGACTTTTTTCTTATCATTATTTACTCTTTCCTTAACTTTGAACATTCATGTCATTTAAAAGGCAGCTATAAACTTATTTATTTTTATTCAGTTTAAGTCTTTCCATTTCAATAAAAGTAGTGAATTTTTATATGTTATTATTTTAGATTGATTACTTTTTAAACATATAATTTTTATAATGTGAAAATGCTTCAAGAGGATAGCATATTTTTAATATTCATATTGTGTGATGTTTTATATCTATTATACATATGTCTATTTTAAGAAATTACTGGTGAAATTATCCTATTATTATTAGAGCCATTATTCCAAGTCACCCACATACAACCTTTATTCCTCACTAATATTTTAATCATGAAACCACTTAACGCACTTAGTAATCTTATAACCTTTAGTTTACCTTTAATAAAGAAAATATTAACTTTATTTTCTTTAACAACAACTTTTTTGTTTCTAACAAATCTAAAATTGTTAAATCATTTTGTCCTTATTGATTTTAGTACTTTATATTTTAGAGCATTGGAAGATAAGGCAGAGTAGAAATAAATTAAACAAGCAGAGATTTTTTTTATTGAGTCACCGTGAGATACAGTTATAAAGATTTCATGTTTGAGTTTTAGTCATACAATGATCAAACACCCATCCCTCCACCAGTGCACATCTTCCACCACCAATGTCCCCAGTATACACTCCCCCCACCATCTTAACCCTCCCCCTGTTTCTATGGCAGACAATTTCCCTCTTACTCTCTCTACATTTTGGACATTATACTATTATCAATATAAATACTGCGAGTCTATCACGTTTGGTCCTTTATCATCTTTCAGCAGACATCACCCATCTTGAACAATCTCTCCAACCATCATTGACTTTTCTATACCAGCTGTCTTCTTCCCCAACCCATGATGCAGGCTTCCAGCTATGGAGCAATATTCCTGCCCTTGTCTCTATTGTCCTTGGGTGTCAGTCTCATATTATGTTATTTTATATTCCACAAATGAGTCCAGTCATTCTATGCTTGTTCCTCTGTTTCTGACTCAGTTCACTTAACATAATACTCTCCATGATCATCCACTTATAAGCAAATTGCATTATATATCTTTCCTGATAGCTGCATATTATTCCATTGTGTAGATGTACCAAAGTTTCCTTACCCAGTCCTCTGTTC